ACAACACTAACAAAGTTTAGACACATAAATTTTGAAGGTCTAGCTACCATATTATTACCCACAAGGGTAAAGGAACAGTACCACTGCTGGATAATTGGAAAGTCCCGGTGTGTCAACCTCTATACTTCGTGGCAAGGTAGACTAGCAAACATGCCCAACCTTTACTCACATTCGAGAAAACACTCCCAACAAGATTGCTTGCTCCAAAATCGAAGAGGCACCGCCCTCCGAATCTCGAGAGCCAGACTCCCAACATGATTACTTTCTCAAAAATCGAAGAGAGGGTAAAGGAACAGTACCACTGCTGGATAATTGGAAAGTCCTTGTGTGTCAACCTTTGTGCTTCGTGGCAAGGTAGACTAGCAAACATGCCCAACCTTTACTCACATTCGAGAAAACACTCCCAACAAGATTTGCTTGCTCCAAAATCGAAGAGGCACCGCCCTCCGAATCTCGAGAGCCAGACTCCCAACATGATTACTTTCTCAAAAATCGAAGAGAGGGTAAAGGAACAGTACCACTGCTGGATAATTGGAAAGTCCCTGTGTGTCAACCTCTGTGCTTCGTGGCAAGGTAGACTTGCAAACATGCCCAACCTTTACTCACATTCGAGAAAACACTCCCAACAAGATTGCTTGCTCCAAAATCGAAGAGGCACCACCCTCCGAATCTCGAGAGCCAGACTCCCAACATGATTACTTTCTCAAAAATCGAAGAGACACCGCTATCCGAATCTCGAGAGCCAGACCCCCAGCAGGATTGCTTTCTCAAAAATCGAAGAGGCATCGTTCTCCGAATCTCGAGAGCCAGATCCCCGACAGGATTGCTTGTTCGAAAACCGAAGATGCACCACTTTCCCAACTTCAAGAGCTGGATCTCCTTGGATAAAGCTTGTCTGTAATCTTCACACGCAACATCAGCTTTCCAGATACCACAGACCACTTTTTCAAAGTGCTCTAACAGAGTTAAAACATGTGAAGCTGGCAGCTCCAACTACCGTGCTATGACCAAGCAGGGTAAAGGAATAGCATTATTACTTGATGTTAGGGAGACTCCTATATATGTCGACCTCCATCCCTAACGGACAGGCAGACCTGCAAAAATGCTCAACCCTTTCTCTTATCTGAGAGGGCACTCCCAACGAAGCCTTTCGAAATATCCAGCTTTCTTTCCCCCCGATAATACCTCTGTAAACAAGCTATACTAGAGCAATAATATCTCATATCATCAGGGTTAAAAGCAAGAGTATCCCATATCATGCTTTTTCCCTGTCTTTTCCTTTGGCCTTGTTCTTACCTGCAAGACAAGGAGAAAGAGAGCAATCAGTCAGCACTTGGAATCAAGCTTCCAGCCAGGAACTGACTGCCTGGAACCCCTTACCTGATTACTTACCTGGCATTGCTCTCGAGTACTCATCTTCAACATCTTATGCTTCCAGGGAAGATACTGCATCTGCCTAAGGAACAGATAGGGCAAGTGAGAAGGATACAAGGAAGCATGTGGAGACAAGCGTAACAGCACACGTGCCGATACATCCACTACTCTGTCAAAAGCAAAAGTATCCCATATCAGCAGGGTCGAACGTACTCTAGATTTGATGGACTTGTTTTGACCCTCAAATTCTTCAGTCGGCCTTATACTCTGGAGGAAACCAGAAAACCCTCCAGCCCGGTTCAAGAATAAGCCTGTGGAAAGTTACTTCTTCAAAAGCAAAAGTATCTCATATCATATATTCTCATTTTTCTTCTCTTTATCCTTCATGCTGCCTGCAAGATAGGGAGAATGTGAACAATCAGCCGGAGCTCTGATTGCTTACCTTGTCTGTCACCTCTTTCAGCAGATCCCCTAGCCCGGCGACTTGGGGGACTCCTACTACATGGTTTGTATAGCGCTTGACCAAGCCTGAAACTACAAGTAAGCTTCAAGTGAAATTGATACATTACCTTGTGCATCTCCACCAGTTACAGATACCACCCCTGGATGGAGGAAGAGTACTTCCAGAGAATATGCCACATCTACCTATGAGACAGATAAGGCAAGTCAAGACGATACCACACTCCGGTACTTAGAAGTTTCGTGGTTACGAGATCATTCTCCCACAATATTTCCTAATGTCATTTGTACTAAATCATTCACTTGTACTCACTAAAGGAGAGCTTGAACCTATGTACTTGTGTAAACCCTTCACAATTAATGAGAACTCCTCTATTTCGTTGACGTAGCCAATCTGGGTGAACCACGTACATCCTGTGTTTGCTTTCCTATCTCTATCCATTTATATACTTATCCACACTAATGACCGGAGCAATCTAGCGAAGATCACAAAAAGTGACCGTTTTCGCTACCTAGGATCTATCTTGTAAGAGAACGGAGAATTAGATGGAGATCTCAACCATAGAATACAAGTTGGATGGATGAAGTGTAAGAGTGCATCCGGCGTGTTGTGTGACCGTCGTAGGCCACTGAAGCTCAAGGGAAAATTTTATAGGACGGCAATAAGGCCAGCGATGTTGTATGGCACAGAATGTTGGGCGGTGAAGCATCAACACGTACACAAAATGGGTGTAGCGGAGATGACGATGCTTCGTGGGATGTATGGGCACACGAGAAAGGATAAGATTGGGAATGATGATATCCGAGGTAAAGTAGGAGTAGCCAAAATTGAAGGAAATATGAGAGAAAATCGGTTCCGGTGGTTTAGACATGTGCAAAGAAGGCCTACTGACGCTCCGGTTCGAAAATGTGACTACGGGACAGAGGTTCAGGGCCGAAGGGGTAGAGGAAGACCTAGGAAAACTTTGGAAGAGACCCTAAGAAAAGACTTGATTACTTGGATCTAACGGAGGACATGACACAAAACCGAGCGCAATGGCGTTCTAGGATTCATATAGCCGACTCCACTTAGTGGGAAAAGGCTTTGTTGTTGTTGTTGGCTAACTATATCCTTAGGATAATAGAATGTGGTTGTTTTTGAATAGTTGTATCAAAATTATAGTTTGATATAATATGAAAGGTTAGTGATGTTCTAGCTTAAATTTAAAATCAGAGAGTCCTATTGTAGAATGGATGTGGCAATAAGTTTTTCTTAGGTTTATGTATTTAAATATGTGCCATGTGAGTATGATATTAGTTGACCATTGTTAATTGTGTTTAATTCATGTTAATTGTGTACTTGTAAGTTCTTGTATTTGTGTGAGTTTTAATTCGTATAACGTGTCGTGTCTAAAATTGGCACCCTAAATTATAAGCGTGAAAAACCATAAAGTATTCAATTTGCAATATCAAATTTTGAAAAGGAAGTGTCAAAATGTAAGCATCTGAAAAGTTTTAATATAGTTCTCATTCTTATAATAACTCAAAGAGTAAGGCATGTAAAGTTGATTGGCTTCATACTAAACTTTACTTCTTTTTCATTTTTATATGGTTTCTTTAGATAAGTAATGGTGTTGGGCCCCCTAGGGCACAAAAATTATAAAACGTACGCAAGTAAGGGATGGGCACCAACATACAAGCCCACTTGAGCTCAGGGTTTTGTATGTTATCTTGGTTATGAATGTTCTAAAACTCATGCTAATGTAATAAAATCCTCATCAGGAATGTCATTATATTGACCATGTTTATTTTGTCGTCTTCTGTCTTCAAGTATCTTCTTCAATCCATTTGCATAACTATTCTCGTGATTCACAAGTATAGTTGCAATTTGAGCTCTTTTGGCAAATACTTCTTCCTTCTCAAAGGTGACTTCTATTGAGTTATGGTTTTGTTCTTACCACTTGCAGAACATGATCAAAGTATTGGTCTGTATACCCATGTATCCTCGGTAGTTTGGAATTGTAGTGTGTCATTTTTCCATCTTTAATGTCCCAAACTACCAAGCTAAAGTGGAAGTAATGCTTGATCAGTATGAAGATTTTTCCAACTTTATCCACATTATCTTGTAAGACTATCTTCAATGTTTGGTCACTATGTTCCTGATCACTCTTGCTTTTTTCTATCTCCATGTTATTCTGAACCAACAATACACATTTATTTATTAATCTTAATTAATAAGTAACAATAATTCTTAAACTGAACCAAAACACTGAACACTATTTATGAAAGTTAATTAAATTTACAAAATATTTATTAAATAGCACAAACACAAATTTTTGTAAACAAAACTGTTTGGCACTTACTAAGATGAATGAAGGAAGATACAGATTTTGTTGTTGCCCTGTTTTTGACTCGTTTTCTGACATTACGTAGAACGAAGCATCAATTATGTTGGCGTCGATTGCCCCATCCACAAACAATGATGTCAGATTTGTTTTTAGGACAACAAGCTCAGTTGCCATGGACCCTTGCCTTGGTTGCATCCAGAAGTAGTCCCTATGTAAGAAAATAAAAAGTTATATATATATATATGTGTGTGTGTGTGTGTGTGTGTGTGTGTGTGTGTACAGATGTATTAAGTTATGATTAATAATGTAAACTTACATTTTCTCTTGTCTGTAATATTTCTTGAATTTTTCTTTGTCTCATCTTCAAGTAACTTGTAAGCCCTTGTTGATGCAGGTAGATGATAGCGTTTGTCAAACTTTTCCTTTATTTGTTTTGGCTTCTTTGGAGGGTTTTTTGCAATCTTCTTTGCAGGCTTCTTTACTGTTTCTTTAGTAATTGGATTCAAGGGTGATTGAACCTTTGGCTGCTCCTTTCCTTTCTCAATTATTGGTTCCAATGGTTGGCTTTGTGATGGAACAATTGAAGGGCTTTCACTGTCACTCATAACATAGATGTATTTGGCCTTTTTTTTTTCTTCTGGATGGGGATATAATCATAGTGTGGATCGACATTTGGTTTACAATCATCCCTCTTTTGTATTTTTTTACTAGTGTTCTCGTCTTCTTCTTGGTAGTTTCTTTTCCTTGCTCTTCAGGATCCTTGCTAGTTAGAGTCTGCATTTGAACATCTTGTTGAACTCCAGAGGCCCCTTTTGCAGTGGCAATGTCTTTTCTTTCATGCTATTGATCCTCCCCATTTTCATCTGGATCATGATCAGTTGCATGCCTTTGTTCTGGATCCTCCATAGCCACATCATTTTCAATTGCATTCTCTTGAACTGGATCCTCGATAGTAGTATCCTTATCATGTGTATGCTCTTCAACTCGATCATCATTATCTGGATCTTCTTTAGGTGGTTCATCCTTTTCTGGATCCTTGAAATTTTGATCTTCTTCTGTTGAAGCATTTAGATATAGTACTATTGGTTGCTTTTCTGGTTGCTTTTCTGGTAGCTTCTTCTTCAAACTTCCAATTTCATCCATAAGTTTATTTACTTTCATAGAAGCTGCTGAGTTCTTTCATTGCAACTGTCTCATTTCAAATTTCATTGAACTAATCTTCTATTTGTCCTCATGTCGTTATTGCAGAAGCTTTTCAATGTTTATATTGAGTGCTACCGTTGTTTGATTCGTTACAATTGAATCTGTGTGTAGGCTGTCGAGTGCATATATCATCATGTGACTGAGGACTAGATACCTCTTTTGATTCATGCTCGCACATCTTTTAAACTCTTCAAAACCTTCCACACATAATGTGGTATCAATCCCTATGATGTCCTTTTGATAAATTGCATCAAATTTCATCAATTCTTCTCTGTACAGTTGATCAAACTGTAACTGAGCTTCTTTGATGGGGATACTGTGATCTTGTTGAGCTTCAGCTTCAGTTCTCTTCCTTTTCCTTCTTGTTGTCTTCTTTTCTTTTTTCTTGGAAGCCTTGTTTCTTAGTTCAGGAGAAGGAATGGCATTGTCTTCTTCTTGGTTTATGTTGGATTGCTCCTCTATTGGTTCTTCAGAAGGTATAGCAGCAGGAATCGACTCATTTGCTTCAGCACAAGGAATACCACCACCAATATGCACAGTCACACATTAAATAGTTATTAAATTACATAATAATGTCCTTGTTTCGTAAACACTGTTTATTAAACTTTAAAAAAAACAAACTATTCACTGAATGTACAAATTATTAAAAGAGAATCACACTAGTTCATATAATAGAGTAATATATGTTATTGTTTATAGAAATGCTAAGAGAAACTATATATACAACGTGAAATCTAAACTATTCATAGATCATTATTATGGCACTATTTATGAAATTGTAAACTATCAATATTTGTAGTATGACATTATTTTCTAGATTTTGTATTATTACATTATTGATATATCACTATTTATTGAAATGTTCTTTTCTTTTAGACTGCAAACATGAACTCTTCAAGAAATTTAGAAACTATTGATGGATTTGACACTATTTATGTTTTATATAAATGACACTATAGCTGGATTTGTTGTATTAGAGATTATGCAGGTTTCATTGTTGGTACAAATGAAAAGTTGAATTATTATTGAGCTTCAAATTTGAACTATTTCTGTATAATTATGAAGCGACTACTTCTGAAACTATAAACTGTAAAGATCATTATGTTATGAAACTGTAAAGTGCAAAAATATATTGTTTATTGAAATACTTTTGTTATTGGTCCTTACCTCAATTTGTTCAACTGGAATATCTTTGATAGCTTTGTGGATTTTGGTTATGTCTCATCTTCCAATGGCAGGAACCATGTTTTCTCATCCACTTATTGTCTCCACCAGATTGGTGTGAAGACAAATCCAATACTGCATGAAATAAGAACTTTGAATTACTTTCTTGTGTATTTTATAAGACAAAATTCATGTTTTTAAAATATGGTTCTTATTTCTTACCAAAATAAGGGCAGTACATCCGCTTGTTGTTGCTGACTCTTTCCCATTTTTCCTCTTTTTCTTTGATTTGTTAATCATCTTGAACAAGTAGTAACTCACTCTTTTTGCCCAGTTGTATTTGCTGATTTGGTCCAATGCCCCACAATTGTTATGAAGCTCCATGTGATGTATGTTCCAGAGGTTGCAAATAAGAGGGATTGTAGGAGATGCACACATATGATTGAAGCAGTAGCTTTTGCCCCTTCAAGAGTTTCGTCTTGGATTGATTTTTTGTACGGTTCAAGAATGTCCTTTTTTTCACTATTTTTTGGTTCGCAAAATATGTTTTTACAAAGTTGTCTTTCATGTTTTTTGTGTATTTTTCTGTGTTTGGTAGTTCAACTCCTTGGTTGTTCAAACCAAATATTTGAGCAACATCTTCACTTGTTATTCCTTTTGGCTCATGATCTCCGAATTTGAACTTTTGTTGCTTGCAGTGATAGCATTGTATAATCTTGATCAGCTCCATATCAGACTTTTTTTTCTCTCAGTTGCAACGGTTTCATCATCCATGTAGAACTTGATTAGACTTAAAAATGGTGTCTTTCCCAAATGATTGCAGACATCACGGCATTGTTGAAGCAATGGCTTGTACAATTGCATTGAATTTGCAAACCCAAAAACATTGCATCTGTATTGCACATAAGATGTTGAAGGTCTTTTATTCTTTTTCTTATCTGGACTCTGTTTAGCGAAAGTCTTCATTCTTGGTTTCTTGGCTCCGTCCATCTGTAGGAATAAACATAGTTTAATTATTACAACTATTTTTGTACCTATATCAAAATATGCCACAATTTTTTATTATGAAAGTGAACTATGAAAACACACTAATTCTGAATTCACATCAAAATAGGTTACACTATTCATCAAATAGAACAAAAATAAAACCATGTTGTTTCTTAAATTAGAACAAAGCTACACTAAAGTACTTTGTGATACTGAACTAAAAAAAGTAAACTATTTAATGATCTATATTTGTATAGACCACACTATTTATCAAAGTGAACTAGAAAACCACACATTTTTACCAAAGCAAACTGAACTATTTATCAAAATGAACTAGAAAACCACATTTTTTTACCAAAGCAAACTAAACTATGTGAACTAGAAAACCATACTTTTTTACCAAAGCAACCTGAACTATTTATCAAACTGAATTATTTATCAAAGTAAACTATGTATTAAACTAAACAATTTATCAAACTGAATTCACATCAAAATAGGTTACATTGTTCATTAAATAGAACAAAAATAAAACTATGTTGTTTCTTAAATTAGAACAAAACTACACCAAAGTACTTTGTGATACTGAACTAAAAAAAGTAAACTATTTAATGATCTATATTTGTATAGACCACACTATTTATCAAAGTGAACTAGAAAACCACATTTTTTTACCAAAGCAAACTAAACTATTTATCAAAGTGAACTAGAAAACCACTCTTTTTTACCAAAGCAACCTGAACTATTTATCAAACTGAACTATTTATCAAAGTGAACTATTTATCAAATTGAACTAGAAACGACACTTTTTTACCAAAGCAACCTGAACTATTTATCAAACTGAACTAGAAAACCACACTTTTTTTTACTAGAAAACTGAACTATTTATTGATTTATATATGAATAGATCACAACTAGAAAACCACACTGATTCTGGATGCACAACAACATCGCCACACTATTTATCAATCAAAATAACTCAACGTACTTACGAAACTTAACTAAAAGTACTGAAATATTGATGGATTTACATCGGAATGGGCATGCTATTTAAGAAAATGAACTAAAACACCAAATTGATTCTGGATCCATACTAAAAACTACACTATTTATCAAACTATACTATTTGTTGAATGTACAAATTATTAACAGAGAATCACACTAGTTCGTGTAATAGCATAATATATGTTTATACTAGTTCGTGAATGCATCCCAGATTTTACTATTTTTCGTACATTTCAATTCTATTTACAAATGAAGCATATTGTAAACTATTTCGTAAACACTGTTTATTAAACTTAAAATTGTGAATTATTTCATAAACATTGTTTATTAAACTAAAACACCACCGAAATAGAATGTTGATTATATTTACATCGGAATGGGCATATAAATGTGAAGGATGTTCCTGCTTCATGAACTCTTCATGCTCATCTAGGTAGGTAATTGTCTCGTCACAATTATTAAGTACAAACCAATGTGCTACTTGTCATATCCTGACCCGGGCCCCCACCACATCCCGGGCTCTCATCCACCGTAGCATGATATTGTCCGCTTTGGGCCCTGATCACGCCCTCACGGTTTTGTTTCTAGGAACTCACACGAGAACTTCCCAGTGTGTCACCCATCATGGGATTGCTCTCGCACGAACTCGTTTAACTTCGGAGTTTCGATGGAACCCGAAGCTAGTGAGTTCCCAAAAGGCCTCGTTCTAGGTAGAGATGGGAATATACATATAAGGCTTACAGGATCCACTCCCCTGGGCAATGTGGGATGTTACACTACCTCTATGTCAATTTTGTTAAACGACTCCCTTCTGGGCAAAGATAGAAAGTTTTCACTTCTCACATCACCGTCATTATTGTGTTGTTGTCGATTGAACGTAATCTCAACGTCTAGTAGGTACATTGCACAAAATGTAAGTGGCTCAAATGCGACCCATGCCTCCACAATTGATCATTTAGGCTTTGCCCTATTTCGTACACTCTTTTTTAATTCACCTAGCAGTCTGCATCAATAAACAAAATAACGTGTAAAATTAGTCAAATCGTACATACACCACAACCTAAAGTATTTATGGCGATTAAATAACTTTTTATCAGATACATCCATCGATAGTTGATGGGTCCGGTTCGAAGTGCCGCATCCGACAAGTGAATCATGATGTGGATCATGCTTGTGAAGAAAGCTGGAGGAAATATTTGTTCAAACTTGCATAGCAATTCAATAATATCATCACGCAACTGTATAACATCGGACTTGCGCAAAGATCTTGCAGTTAATTGAGGAAAATATCTTGCCAACAACATAATTGGCTTCACCATATCTTTGAGCAAGAGGTGTCAAATTCCTACTAGGAGATGGCGTTGAAGTATCACATGACAATCATGACTCTTGAGGCCTGAAAATTTGCCTCCATCCATGTTTGCACAACGGGTTGATGTTTGAAGCGTACCCATCTGGAAACTGTACAGAAGATAGAAATTGCAAAAACTCTTTCCTCTTATCTAGTTTCACAGAAAACGATGCAAGCTTCTTTTTGGCTATGTCTTCGTCCCTCGTCATCCATAAACCTGGCCTAATGCTTATTTTTTTCAAATTGATATGAGCTTTTATTATGTCTTTTGTTTTTCCCTTGATGTCTAGTATAGTTTTGACCAGTGTATCAAACACATTTTTCTCCACATGCATTACATCGATGTTGTGTCACAATTTTAATTTCGACCAGTACCGGAGCTTGAACAACCTCATGTTGTATGTCCAGTTCAGATATATGTCTGGTCTTGTCCTATTTATGGATTTGCCCAACGGAGCAAAATCCAAATGATTCACATAAGCCAAAATTTCATCTTTGGACATTCTTTGGGTCTCCGCCGAATCTCTATGCCGTTAAAGAAGGATGCCTTGTTCTGACGCCACTCGTGGTCCTATGGTAACCATCTATGATGCCTTAGGCAATAAACTTTTCCCCTGTGCTAGCCAAATGTTATGTTCTATTTGTAAACTGGGCAAGCGTAGTAAACCTTAGTGCTCCACCTAGACATCATAGCGTACGTAGGAAAATTGTTTATAGTCCACATCATTGCTGCTCGCAAAGTGACCATCTTCTTGGTAGATTTATCGTATGTGGGAACACATTTTCCCATAATTCTTCTAGTTCATCAAACAACAGTTGTAAATAAACATCAATAGGTGTGCTTGGATCTTGAGTTATCAACAATGTCATCATCATATATTCTTTTTTCATGCACTTCCAAGGTGGCAAATTATACGGAATTGCGACAATTGGCCAAGTGCTGCGGTTTTGGTTTAGAACTCCAAACAGATTAAACTCGTCTGTTGCAAGTCCCAATCTAACGTTCTGGGGCTTACGTGCAAAATTAGGGTACAACCGATCAAACTCTTTCCATGCCTTTCCATCTGCAAAATGTCTTATAACATTGTCATCCATTCATTTATCCTTATGCCACCTCATGTCGTTTGTAGTGTGTGTCGACATATACAATCGCTGCAACCTGGGCTTTAATGGGAGATAACGCATAACTTTTTGTGGAATCTTTGTTTTCTATTCTAAAAGGTCATTTTAAACCACGACTCATTACATACAGGACGTTTATCTAATGCTTTATTCTCTTTGTAGAACAAAATGTAATTATTTTTACACCCTTGAATTTTTTCATATCCTAATCCAAGACCACTTAACACCTTCCTTGCACTTTTATGATCTTTAGGCAGGCCGTTGTCTTTTGGAAGCATCCTCTCGAAAACCCCCCAAAAGTAATTAAAACACTGGTTCAACATATGAAACTTTATTTTGTCATGCATCAACTCAACAATGGCGATGAGCATCGAAAATCATTTGCAACCGGGGTATAATTCTTACTTAGCACTTTTTAATAGTTTTTCATATTTTTCAAATGCTTCACTGTCCATGATGGGAAGGATGTCATCTTCTACTTCCTCATTCATATTCGAACTAGCGTTTGGAAAACCATCATTTATAATGTCCATAATTTGTTCATTTGAGTCCATAACAGATTCAATTGTCCCTATTGCTCGGGTAATGTGTGAGGATGAAGCATATTGTATTTGTTCTCCATGATGATTTCATGTAGTATATGTCTCCATCATCCCATTTCTGACTAAATGGTATCCAACAATTTCAAAATATTTAATCATTGAGTTGTTACACTTTCTATAAGGACACCGAATTTGAGTTAAACCCCGGTTGTTTGTAATTACAAAATCAATAACTGATTTATTCCATCCAAATAATCATCAGCACATCTATTAGGATTATGTATCCACTATTTGTCCATATCATCTGCAAACATAAAAAATTTACTAAGGTTACAACAACTTCAATTATGGCATGCCACCTTATGCGTTCGATATAGGTCTTATCTCATTCGAGAATGCACAATTACGTGCTATAATTTACGATTCCAACACATTAGAGTTTGATCGTGGTAAAATTTCGGCAGCATCTCCCTGCAGTTCTTCAATTGCACAACGTAGATACAAAAAACTATGATGCACCTGAAAAACGCAAAGAGATGCAACCAAATTTCCTGCGTTCAAACTCTAATGCATGAATCGCATAATACAACATCTAATTGTGCATTCTCAAACTGTCCAAAATTTTGGGACAATTCAAGAATTAATTGGACTGCAATCATGCTTTTGCATCCATTCACGAAATCCAACTAATTCTCAAACGAGAAACTAAGCACATATGAACATTGCAAACCATTTTTTGTACATCCATACTAAATTGTTTGCATACAAATACATAAACTCACAACAATTATAAACTACATACAAAACAACTTAAATGAATGGAAATTAAATAAGTTACTTAAGAAAATATACCTCCGAGATTAACGACAACACAACTACAACTGCTAGAAATTCCAGGAGGAAGGCACCTGCTACAATTGTTTTGCAGCTTATGCCTTCCTGCATTTTGGTTAAATTCAATAAAGTGAAAAGAATTTGCACGACTAAAGAACCATCGTGCAAAACATGGTGCTTCCACTTTTGGTGCCATCCAACTACGCTTTGTCGCGTTTTTAGAACACTTTGCAAGACGAACCACATTTTGTCGCACATTACTTTTTTTTTTTAAATATTCGTTTTTTGAAAAAAAAAATTGAATTTTTCCATTTAGTCTTCAATTTTTTTCAAACCACATAAATACTTAATAAATCAAGAACTTATTTCATTAAACCATTCATGCATAATTAATTAATATAAATATTTATTAAAATGTATTAATTATATTCAAAATAAACATTAAGTACATATTTAATCAAACAGTTCATAATAAAAAAAAACTTCTAATTTAGATCTTATTATTAAATAAGCAATAAAATTATAAATAAAAGAACCCTATTATACTCCTCCATTGGTAGTTCTGGTTCTCGCAGTAGTTCTGCTACACGTTGATTATCAAACTTCCACTCTGGAAACGAGATTTGAAGATGTCGATAGCCTTCATTAGATTTGGGTTACTTTTGTCAATGTCCAATTAGGCTATCATGAAAAAATTAATAAATTAAAATCTCACTATTATATTAAATTTAACAAACATAATTATTATTTAACTAATAACTTAACACATACAGCTAACTTAACGATCAAGTGCATCTTCAGCTCCTTAGGGATGGCTCAACAAGACTCCCAATCCACACCACATTTGTCACGCACCAATACTCCAACATCGGACTAAAAGCTAGCACCAATATCTGACTTCACAACCCCTATTAATTCGTTAGCAGTGATTCGGTAATGGCTCCTACCATAAGTGTGTCGAACCCGTACGCAACTCTTTTCTTCTTGTCTATCAACAAAATATATATTTATAATATTGAAGCTAAATAAAAACTTTATACAAAATGCAAAATTTACAATGCAAACCTTTTCCGAAACCTTCCCCATCCATTGTCTTTGACAAACACACACCACAGTCGGCCATTGTACCAACAATCAAAGAACAAATTGATTATAATTTGCAAATAGTAAAGTGTTTCCAAAACGAATTGTGAAGAATAAGAAGGGCAGAAGAGCATATTTATAGGAGGGTTAGGCACTTTGAGCGACGAAGCCTTTGTTGTACAAACATTTGCACTAAATACAGTATTGCTTCCTCTGATTCACATGCATTGAATACTCTGACTCAGGACTTTGTACGATGAAGCCTGTGTCGCGCATGGTTTTCGTGAAAAAACTTCATCATTTCGCTGATTTGCATGCACTGAATGCTCTGACCAAAAAGCTGAACGAACTTTGCACGACGAAGCCTTTGTCGCATTAAACCACCTTATGCGACAAATTGTTTGTCGCTCAAAACATATAGATTCGAAATAGGGCGATAAACTTAACTGCATTTTTTACGCCCTTTGCGCGACAAACCATTCATCGCGCAAAACATAATTGATTGTAATTATGAAGTTTACGTAAACATAGATCTTTAGTATCTATATTTAGTAAACTTCATAATTACAAACAAATATTCAATTATAATATTTATTCTCAAAATAATTGAAAACTTAAATAAATTAAATTAATCCATTCAATTATGTAAACAAAAAAACATGAATTAAAGCGTAATTAAGTCCAAATACATAACCTATAAGAAAACCTTAAAATTAAATATTGTCCTCAAAAACATAAATTTAAAACTACTGCTCCGCTGGTCCTACATTCCGCTCCACATCATAATGCCACTGCTTGTAACCCCTCTTCAACGCCTCATCCATCAACTTCATCAACTCTTTGTTCGTATAATCAAGAGTATAGTTACACTATTACACATATATGTAAATAATTAATTACAACATATAACAAACAATTTCACAAAATTAATTATTTTCAACCTTTGTCACACTTACTAATAATTGATCCATCACAACCTTTTTCACATCCTTGGGCATATATTTCCAAGAACGTCACTCAGCAGTAGGACAATTGTTCCTCATTGCTACACTAATGTCATGCGCAAACTCCACATATTACATCATATCATGGGGCCTGGGGGGCATGCTCTCCTGCCAGTTTCTTTCCTCCACTCTCCTACGTACTATCCTTATTATCTACCATCAAGTTACAAAATAATGTGAATAAAACTGCAACACAATTTGTGCTTATATAGAATAGTAACACTTTACGTGACAAATTGCTGGTTGTGCCTTCAAGACTACAACCTTTGCGCTACGAAAGGTTCATTGAGCAAAGTGAGAAATAAATACGCAATACATGACATGACTTCAACAGCACTGACCATGGCTTTGTGTGACAAAATTTCATCCCACAAAGTTTTGCATGACCAAACTTTCGTCGCGCAATACATTCGCAGTAAATATGACGACTTAAAAGCTAACTGACCTTTTTACAGTGTTTTGTGCGACGAAGTCTAGCCCTGCAAAGGTTTTAGCGACAAACGTTGTAGCGACAAACATTTTGTCGCTTAAACCTTTGCGTGACAATTGAAAATATTTATTTTATTCGATCTCGAAAACAGTTTCTCAAAATACTAATGTCAATATTACAGTATTTTAGAAATATGTTCTCGAGATGTAACAAAATAAATACAGTCCATTAAAATTTATTCTTCCAATTTATTAATAATTCAGTGTCATTATTTAAAAAACCATAAATAGATTAATAAAAAAGAAAAACCATTCTAATCATTTGCTCGTCCATCCACTCCGTGTCGCCCTGGGTCACATTGAACATCAAACGTCAACTCCCAAAAATGATACTTGAACACAACGTCGATGCACTTCATCATATTTGCATCACTTTTGTCAATGTTCTAATCAGGCTGATATGCAAAAATAAATAAATTACACATATTACTATTATATTTTATCTAAAGAACTAAATTATTATTTAACTAATTAATAATTTACACGTATTGCTAATGCATCGATCATGACCGTCTTTATCTCCTCGGGGACATCTTTCCAATACTCCCAATGCACTCCGCATCTGTCACATACCATACCCCAATGTCCCACCTAAACTTGTTCACCATATCCGACTTCTCATATCCTACTAATTTTGCGTAAGTGATTTGGTAGCGACTCTTAGCACAAGAAGTGTATTGAACACATGTCGCAACTCTCTTCTTTTTCTTATCCACCAACAAAATAAAAACTTATATTCGTCTACTTAAATATTTAATTAATTTACACAACCAACAAAATTAAGTACATATTACATTTCTCAGAACCTTCACCTTGAATTGTCCTTGACGAAGGACTATCAGAGTCTGCCATCACGTATGAAAAAACAAACAAAAAATGCAATAATAATTCGGTGAAAGGAATTATGGCTTCTTTGCGTTTCCAAAACGAATTGTGAAGAATAAGGAGAGCAGAAGCGCATATTTATAGGAAGGTTAGAAACTTTGTGTGATGAAGCCTTTGTCACACAAACATCTACACT